CCCCCCCCCGCCCCGGCAATTTGTTCTTTGTGTTTTGTTTCCATCTGTTACGATATTCATTTGAATTCCCAGCTGCCTGTGAGGACAGTGACATCATTAGGACTGTGGGACCTGAAGCAAGATCACCTTGGTACCTTTGACTCAGGATGATAGATCAAAGCTCATTTAGATTAGACAAGACAGCTGAAATGCATTGCATTTGATCTCCTCCCTGTTTTACTTAGAGCCCGGTCCTTCTAGAAGCATGCCATGTAAAATGTTGCCTACGACAGGCATTGTCCACCAGGCAGTTTAGTTGTGTGGAGCGAAATTTTGAAATGTGGTCACCAGCTGTTCCCACTGGGGCCAGCCATCCATTACTGACGTTTTTTTTACCTCCAAGCTTCATTTAGCCAAAAATTAGAAATGAAAAACACCAAGCCTGTTGTTTCCTAACCTTGTCCACAAATAGGTAACAACTAAATAGGAAATTAAATAAAAGACTGCGAAGTAAACAATCATGCCGGATTTGACAAGAGCTTTGTGTTGTTTTGGCCCTTGTTCCGTTTCTGAGGGGATCACCCTAGCGGCACAGGCGTAATGTGTTCGCCTGTGTGTTCCAGCGGCAAAATGAACACATTTGTTTATTTTATACGTGATCTGCATGAAAAGTAGGCGAGCAGATTGGTTTTGGTCCCAGCTGTGTACACAACGCTGTCAAAACACAGTCCCTTCCCTCGCAGCGACATGACCGAAGGGTTCAGCGGGATAAGATGGACCGAGGACAACCAGGATATTACCTCTGCAGCGGGGGGATTTTTTTATACCTAAAACTGTGTCTGAGATCGACTTGCCTGTAGAAATAGGCCTCTATTTTAAAGCACCCCTCAGTATGCCAGCTTTGGATCGATCCCAGCAGAGGGACCGAAATTCGCTTGGGGCGACCTTTTTTGCATTCCCATAAAAATGGAGATGTAAAAATGATAAACAGCAAACATTTGCAAGAGGGCGGGCTCCTGTGCCTTTTAATGTTCCAAGGTTAAAGCTTGGGGGGGGGGGGGAGACAAACTCTTCCAAAATACTCACTTGGTGACTTCTGTTATTTTTTTATCGTGTCATTTTATAATAAAAAGAGTGACATGCAGCTTGGTCATTTTAAGTGTCAAAACGCAATTTGATGTTCGAACTATCTTAGAAACAGTGAGGGCTCATTTTCTGTTCTGTTATCTCCTGGTGAAACAAAAAGCAACTAATGGAGGCATTGTGAAGAGGTTGTGGCACTATCGGGCATTTACAGAGCCAGTCTTTAACCAACTGAACTGGCAAAACTTGGGAAATCTCACTTCCAAGTGTCCTGGTCAGCTCTGTCCATAATTAATATGGAATCTTTGATCAGGTTTTTAAAGTAAAATACGTGTCCAAAGAAACAGCTTGATATTCTGAGCACTGCTCTTCTTGAATTGCTGTTGTTCTTTGTGAAGAATATGAAAGTATTACATTGATACCTTCGCTTTTGCTCTCAAAATTTTCTGTTTAGTTAAATTCAAGGTCAGTCGATGATTCGTTATCCTCTCAGTATTGATTTCCAGCTCTGCGACTCTGGTGTATTGACAAAATTTTAGCTGACTTGAATGAATCTTAGAGAGCACCCACTCTGCCAGAAAGTTAATTACAAATCCACTGTGTAATCAGAAAACAATGTCAGGTTGGCTTGACTTCAGCTGTGGACCTGGAGAGTTAATAATGAGCGTATAATGTGAATTTGTGTTCAGTTGCATAACTAAGCTCATGTGAAATAATGACCTGGTCAGATGCATGAACATGACTTGAGGTGGGATGATGTTGTGCCACCAGAGCGACTTGAGCAGATGTGCACTGAATTAGCCAGTCGTGTTGTTCACCTCTGCTCCCATTATCCCTCAGCCCGCCCAAGTGTCCAATCAGCAGTGGCATGAATGACGGTGGGCGTGGCTCCTCCTCCAAAATCATGGCAGCATTCTGTGATGCGTGCAAAGGAGGAGCTGAGAAGACGAGGACATATTTCGAAATGAATCATGGCAACGTTCTAAGTTTTTTACCTACACTCTCAGAAAAAAGCGTAAAAATTTGTACCTTTGCTTGTCACTGGGGCTGTACCTTCAAGGCTGGGTAATTGTACCTTTTAAAGTACAGAAATGGATTCTAAGGAACATTTCTGTACCATTGATAATATGTTAATGCTGTTTGTACCTATGAGATGTTACTCAGAGTCCATTTCTCTACCTTAAAAGGTACAATTACCTCCAGTTGGCAGACCCTTGAGGGTACAGCCCCAGTGACAAGCAAAGGTACAAATTTTTCCCCTATTTTTCTGAGAATGTAGGGGGTTTCTTAATCTGCGCCCTTGACCGTACTTGGGTTCTCATGTACCCATTTTATGTCATCTTCCATTGCCGACCAGTTCCAATATTCAGGAACAGAAGAACAGAGGACGGTAAAAATCCCTGGATGTTGGTCTTGCTTCACTCCAAAATATCAAGGATACATCGGTTGCATCCCTGCCGAACGAGTCCAATCCCAATCAATGCGCCACATGTTCGTTCTTGGGAGGCAGGTTAGCAAGACCGGTCTTGTCAAGACCCCAAGTATGATCTTTGCGTTCTTGGTATTGGGAAGCACCCCTTGACTGGTGCCCATCCAGCGTGTACCCCAGCCCTGTGCCTTGTGCAGCCTGGAATAGGCTACTGGCCTCACAATGACCCTGACCGGAAGGTGGATGGAATTTTAACCTAGTGCTCATTGAATGGAGCTAAGTAAACTCCACGGGGTATTTGTGCTAGGGCTGACTGATGCAAACTGGTCCTGATATATATAGTGTAGTATGTGGTTTAGGGAACAAAGAGCTTTCGTCATAGTTTCTCTCATGTTCAGGGCAGTGTTGCTCTCTCTGTGGAGATGTTGTGAGTATGTGTCTCCAAGGTGTGTCTTGTGTCTGTTCTGTTTGACGGTCATTCAGTAGCGTCTCCTGTGGATCGTCCTGGTCTGTGTCCCTTGTCTGAGGTTAGACCCTCAGGGAAACCTGCATGCATCTCTGTGCCTGCTTCTTGTTGAGTGGTATGAATTGCGTGGGTGTATTAAGTTGGTCTATGCATGAAGCTTGTGAGGTAAGTCATCTTCAGTCCAGTCTACATTAACGAATGAAGTAATTTATTTAAAAGCCTGATAAGCCACTCTGGATGATCACATCTGTCTAATGACTAAATATAATGGCAGTAACCGATTATTTTCCCCTCCCTTCTGATCAGAAATTCCTCATTAGATGAAGGGGAAAGTCACAGGTTTGATTCTCAGCACTTCCAGTTGAGGTGAGACATTGGGCGACTGTATGGTGAATGGTTATGTTGATTTCCTTTGACCAACCGGAGGCCCCCTTGTCTATGAGGGGGAGGATGGATTTGTGGGACTATTAAAACAGAACCATCTCTGAGTCTCGCATGTTATTGCGCATGTCATTTTTCCCTGTGTCCGCTTCACGCCTACGGCTTTCTGGAACAAAGCCATCACTTTGTTTTCATTTTGCAGGGTAGTGCATGAGAATGATGCCGTGGTTTTCAGAGCCCCTTTAGAGACGGAGCGGCAGAAAGCCCTAGCATGGAATAAGGGTGTGGGGGGGGGGGTTAGGGAGGCGTGATGCATGCTGACAGTGCCAGCATGTCTGTGGCCTGCTTGCTCAGGAGCATTTTGGGACTCTTATTTTGAAACATCGTTGGTATGTCTCAGGTACTGCAGTATAAAGGGAAAGCAGGATTTTAAGCGACAGAATAAGAGTCACTCTCGCTCGGGGTCATGTGTTTCCTCTTTCATGTTCTGAAAATGTTTATTACCTCCACCTTTAAGCCGGTGGTAACGTTGATGCATGAAATAATGTTTTTTTTTGGATGATTATCACAGAGACTCTGACTTGATTCTTTTGTGCCAAAGAAATACTTGTCGCATGAGCGCCGCGATCTGCTTCATTCGGTCGTGAGACCTCTTGCCTGGCTATCATGGCAGGATGGGAGACGCCCCAGGTCTTACAGATTCCCCCTGACCTGCCCGCCCCCCACCCCCTGGCCTCTGCCACACTAACTGCTCTCTCTCCCCCTCTCTCTCCCTCTCTCTCTGCGCTTGTCCCTGCCGCCAGGCCTCCAGAGCCCGTTTACAGCACTGTGAACAAACTGTGTGACCGAGCAGCTTCCCCTCGCCACTACTCCCCCCTGGAGTGCGACAAAAGCATCCTGCACTCCATCCCCTTCCCCCACTTTCACGTAGGCCTGCTCCCTGACTCTGAGATCACCAGGTACTGATCCCCCCCCCTACCCCACCTATCACCCAGTGCATGCTAGCATGCCTTGTTCTGGCTGCCACATTCCCCCTCCCATCTACCCCTCCCCCCCCCCCCTTTTCCATCTTACTTGAGCTGTCCACATGTACAATGACACATTCATGGCTTATAACTCTTGTCGCTAAATTGGCATATTGATTGGCGATCTATCACCACAAACAAGGATTGCAAGCCTGTGCTTGACTGTACGATGTGTGGGTGTCAGTCCCACGTGAATTTATTCATTCGATTTTAGTTTTGTTTCCGTGCTTTTTTCCATTTAGATCTGTGTTGTGTGAGCATTCACCTCTTCTCTCATTTTTGTTTTATTATCATGGTTACCATACCACGCAAATTAGATTTTGAATGCCTGTGTCAGTATCATCCAGACCGCTTCCTTGGTTGTCCTCGTTGTCCCAGCATGTGGGTTGAGTGGCCTTGATGGAAGGACCCTGGTTTCCTTAATGCAGTGAAGGATTTGCTCAGCAGGCGAGCGAAGGATGCTCGCTTCTCCAGCTCTGCCGCACGGCTGATATTTTTCTCTCGATAAGTGCCAGGATATCGCCTGCCTTTTCTGCCGTTTTCTGTTTGCAGGCTGTGTTGGGTGTTAGTCGTTCTTGTAACTTATCGCCTTTGTTAATTGCCTGCCTAGGGATAGTGAATAATTAGCATTTGAGAACAGCGCCCGTGCACTCAGACTCGGCGAGAGACTTTGTGCTATATATTTTAATTAGGGGTTTTTAATGCTGGATTTACACTTTGAATTTATTCTCTTTGTTTTTATATTAATAGCAATTTGAAATATTTGGGGAAATTATTTTATTTTTTTGTGGTGGGATTGCTTTAAATTGTATTATATATAAGCAATCTGAATAATTCATAAAATGTTTGCCTGGGAATTGTTATTTGTGACTAAGAACCTGCACTGGCAACAGACGAGGGTTTTTTGGTTTATTGGAGTGGGTGAGTTCTGGGCGTTGTGCTTGATTTCCTGACAGCCATCGTCAACGGAGCCTCATGGTCGTCTATGATTGGCCCCTTGGCCCTGGGATGCCATGCCAGAAATCTGCCCAGCCTGCAGAGCGACACACCCCTTTGATCTCCAGTCTCTGTATCGGCTGTCTGTTAAATATTTATCACTCCATCACTCCTTTGAGTGGCTCAAAGCCTCTACATTTGATTGGTGTTTCCAGTTACTTAAAATGAAGGACTGTATAGCAAGTCCTCTTGATATCGATTGTATACAAATTGCACTGCTGAAATCTGCCTACTGTACAAGTTTCTCTGGTTCAGTTTTGAACTAATGCAGCGTCATTCTTTTGAGCTTTTCTTTTGTTGCCAATGTTTACATATTGAGAATCAAACTGGGGGTATATTTCACAGCTGATATCAGACCATATATATAGTGTATGTGTACTTTTGGACTTGAACTTTCCAGCTCTGGTTCTCTCTCAGTCCCTGCAATCAGTCCAGACAGAGCAAAGTCCCCTAGAGCGACCAAACAAACCAAGCACATTCATTTTTTATTGTTTTTGTTTAAGGTGTTAGCAAATAGCCTACTACTCCTGAGAAGACGGTCACGGTTGTACAAATTCCCAAACACCCCGCCTCAAGTAGAATGACAGCTATATCTGCCGGCGAATTCTACCCCATGGTGGTGTGGACTAAGCAGTGGGAATCTGCCCCTGTTTTTATAATCCAATTACTGCTCCGAGGAGTTTACTTTTGGTGAGCAGTTTGCTCCACTGAACCGGGAAATAATCAGACAACCTCTCCAGCCTCTTTCGTCATATTGAGAAAGTTCAGTTGTGTTGGGACATGTTGTGATATTATAAAACTGCCCCCACCCCCTTAACCCCAAACAAAACCGCATGTAGGGGGGAAAACTGTACTGTTAACAATTCAGGACACCTAATACCTGTAGTATTTTATTGTTGTTTCGCTCCATAGCCCACACACTTATTGAGACTAAGTTAAAATGTTACCCATGAAACCAATTGTATGTTTTCACTCAAGATACCTGGATTAAGTACCTACTCATACAGTAGGTTCAACAGGAGGCTACTGATGAGACCTAAAATGATCATGTGGGTTTCTAAACCTCTCCCAATCAGTCCAGCACATTCATGTGTGCATGGCATACCTAATGGCAGCATAAATCTTTTGGGCCTATAACTTGTACATCGATTGGAGATGTTGTTATCCCCCTTGCCAAGCACATTTGGAACACTAAAGGCATTGTTTGCCTATGTCTGAGTGCCATGCGTGTGGGTGACTGTCCTATGTGGATTGATTGCTCATTTCATCTGGGACCTAAACTTGACAACCTTTAGATCACTTGTCTAGGTCCTTCACAGCCATGCTACCTGCATTCTTTTCTCAGTGACTCATACTGGTGTGAAGTTGAAGACTGAGTCTTGATGGCTGTCGTTGGCTCAGCCGTATCTGTGGGCTTATCACAGTGCCATTACAGCAATGAGAGAGCTGGCCTTTAATCTTCCCTGAGGGGGAGAGTATAAAAAGTATATTAAAGACACCTGTCAGCCCATATTAAAGATTCCTGTCAGCCCAGAAGATTTGACAGACGGATGACAGTATTGACATGGACGCTGTGAAAAGGTCAACCACTTGGTCTCTGAAGGGTTCCATCTTTAGGGTAGCACATGGTGGGAGGGGGGAGGGGGTCACCCTCTAATGGTGGCCATCGTGTGAGTCAATACGCTTAATGAAAACCTACAAGTCATCAGGTTATTGATCCATCTCGTTGGCCAATTGACTTGCGGCAACCTTATGAAAGACCTTCAGAATCCCTGTAGACCTCATCAGTTACCAACTCATATTGTTGATTTGCAGCATTTCTATACTAAAAAAGTTTATTCTTTACTGTGCTGGAGTGGCATTCGGCAAGCATATCTAGTCTGTATCACTTAAAATAGAATCAGGTCCCTTTCTTCCCTGTGGTTCTCTAGCAGAGTCTTGGATCAGTGATCCCTGATTGATGCGTACCAGACCGATGAATGGGAATGAGCCTTTGTGGATTGTAGATGTGTGAACCATCCCCTTTCCATCCAGTTGCCTGCAAGGCAGCTGTGGCTTCTTTGTGGACATCACTTTATGTATTTCATGTACACTATATGGACAAAAGTATCTAGACACCTGGCCATTTCACCTACAGGAACTTTTATGAGATCGCATTCTAAATCCATAGGCTTCAATACAAAGTTGGTCCCCCTTTGCAGCTTTAACAGCTGCCATTACTCTGGGAAGACTTTCCACAAGATTTTTGAGTGTGTCTGTGGGAATTTTTGCCCATTCATCCAGAAGAGCATCTGTGAGGTCAAGCATTGATGAGGGATATGAAGGCCTGGCTCTCAATCTCCCTTCTAGTTCATCCCAAAGTTGTTTGACATGGATGAGGTCAGGGCTCTGTGTGGGCCAGTCAAGTTCTCCCACACCAAACTCACCCAGCCATGTCTTTATGGACCTTGCCTTGTGCACTGGGGCACAGTCATGCTGGAACAGAAAAGGGCCTTCCCCAAATTGTTCCCACAAAGTTGGAAACATAGAATTGTACAAAATGTCTTGGTATGCTAAAGCATTAAGAGTCCCCTTCACTGGAACTAAGGGGCCAAGCCCAATTCCGAAAAACAAGCCATCTCCACTAAACTTTACAATTGGCACAATGCAGTCAGGCAGGTAATGTTCTCCTGGCAATCTTCAAACTCAGACTCGTCCATCAGACTGCCAGACAGAGAAGCGTGATTCATCACTCCGCAGAACACCTGTCCACTGCTCCAGAGTCCAGTGGCAGTGTGCTTTACACCACTCCATCTGACGCTCAGCATTGTGCTTGGTGATGTGACGCTTGCATGCAGCTGCTTGGCCATGGAAGCCCATTCCATGAATCTCCCGGCGCACAGTTTTTTGTACTGGGTTTAATGCCAGAGGAACTTTGGAACTCTGCAGTTACTGAGTCAACAGAGTGTTGTCAACTTTTATGCACTATGCACTCAGCACTTGGTGACCCAACTCTGCTACTTTACATGGACTGCTACTTCATGGCTGAGTTTCTGTTGTTCCCAAACCCTTCCACTATGCAATAACACCACTTACAGTTGAGTGTGTAATCTCTAGCAGGGAAGGAATTTTGTGAAGAGCATTTGCATAGCTGGCATCCTATAACAGTATCATGGTTGAATTCACTGAGCTCTTCAGAGTGACCAATTCTATCACAAATGTTTATAAACCTAAATGCATGGCTAGGTGCTTGATTTTATATGCCTATGGCAATAGATCTGAATGAAACACCTGAATTCATTGATTAAGAGGTGTGTCCCAATACTTTTGTCCATATATATGTGTGCTCTGTGTGTGTGTGTGTGTGTGTGTGTGTGTGTGAGTGTAATATATATACTGTATTTATATAGTGTTTAATGCACCTTGCACTACTTCACACTTTTCAGATTAGATGACAAACTGCATTTTATTGTATGAGTACTCTTGTGCAATGACAAAGTTGAAACTAATCTAATCATAGCTAGCTGGCTAACGTTACAACATAGAAATGTACTCTGCTGTAACTTTTAACTAGTCTAATGAACATTGGAGCCTAACTACTTGTAGCTCCAATTTAATAACTATCAATAAATATTCTGGGGGGAAAAAGCTCTGGTCTTCTAAAACATCAAAATACTACGTGATTTGGAAGGGTACGTCAGAAACGAAGATGTGTTTTGGGACATATCTGCTAAATTAGTAGATTTATATCCAACTATGCCAATTTGTATCTCTGTATAACAGCACAATATACAAGCTATTTGTGACACAAGTTAAAGCAACGTGCATGAAAGCAACTCAGGATACCTGCTGTGTTGTCTGGCTTCGCGATTTATGCTGGTGGTGAAACTGCATTGGGAATGTAAACCGTCAGCATGTCGGTATCACACTGCGTGAGAAAAAAACACGATATGTCATAATATCGCTTTATCATCCCACCTCTAACGTATATAGAGCACTCCCTCCCCTTCATTCATCCGGTAGGGGGGCCTCCAATTTATATGTGCCCAGGGACCTCGAAGGACCATGATCCGGCACTGGCTGAGAGGCAACCCACATAGTGAATGAGACTGTGCAGTCCGTCACCTTCCGCTCGTGTTATAGCCATGTCACCCAATCACATTTAAGGATGTAATGTGAGATCCAGTGTAGACTCCAGTAGCACCTCCCCACAGCCTGGTGAACTGTGTTCGAATAGCCAAATCCATGCTCTGCCAGCAGGTATTTGGACATAGCAGACCCTTCTCAGCAAGGATTTAATGTCTTAGGGGACCCTTTAAAACTCACCCATCTTCTGTGATTGCTGAAGTCAGAGTGCAGTCATTTGTTTTGCTCTATCTAGTCTAAAAACCCATATTTGCTGTTTC